TCGTAGTAGTAGTAGGTAGTAGTAGTAGTAGTAGTAGTAGTAGTAGTAGTAGTTGTAGGTAGTAGTAGTAGTAGTAGTAGTAGTCGTAGTCGTAGTCGTAGTCGTAGTAGTAGTAGAGTAGTAGTCGTAGTCGTAGTCGTAGTCGTAGTAGTAGTAGTAGTAGTAGTAGTAGTAGTAGTAGTAGTAGTAGTAGTAGTAGTAGTAGTAGTAGTAGTAGTAATGTAGTAATGTAGTAATGTAGTAATGTAGTAATGTAGTAATGTAGTAATGTAGCAGTAGTAGTAGTAGTAGTAGTTGTTGTTGTTGTTGTTGTAGTGGTAGTTGTAGTAGGAGGAGGAGGAGAAGGAGGAGGAAGAGGAGGAACGAGCAGGGGGGATTGAGACGAGTAGCCACGCAATTGGGCACTGTTGCTTCAGCGAGCAAGATGCCTTCATTGAACCTGGTGAGGCTGCCCGGATGCTTTTGCTCCATTGGTGCGATGCTGTTCCTTCCGCAGACGGTTTCAACGGCCCTTCCAGGTTCCTGGGAGCCTGTGCCCCAGGCTCTGCGTACGTCTTTGGGCTCCTGGCCCGAGACTTCTAAGCCGCAGGCTCCGTGCCCCTGGGCTCCGTCGCTTCTGAGCGCGACGGGCGTGCAGTCTGCAACACGCGCTCTGACGGATGAGTGCTTCCCGAGGCCTCAAGGGAGTGTGCCCGCTCGGTCATGACCTTGCCAACGCCCGTGCGGTCAGCAGGCCCTGCTCCAGAGCCCTGCGCGCCGCCACGCTGGTCCCAGGCAGGCTGTGCTGCCTGGCGGAAGCAGAAGAGGAGGGGAGAAGCAGGCAAGCGACGACGAACGCGCAGGCGGGAGGCCAGGGCCGGCGGGGCGGGGAGGCAGGCGGAAGAGGGGCCAGGCGGAGTCCGGAGACACATGGCCAACCCCTCCCTGGGTGTCAGCGGACTCCGTGGCCGTGGCCGTGGCGGGTTGGCCTCTTCAGCCTCTGCTTGTCCTTTGGCGGCCTCGTGCTCTGTCCCGCTGTCCCGCCTTGGTTGTCTCGACCCGGTACAGGCTTGCATGAGTTTTGGTACTGGCCGGACCGAGATATGAGAATTGAGGTCGCTTCAGAAAGGGTGCGAAAATGTTTTTCGTGTTTGTTCAATGGTCTTGTGCATCCTGGGGGAGGGTGTTTTCGAGTGTTCTTCAGTTTGGCCGGCGGAGGGTCTCGTGTTCTTGAAGGGTGTTCTTCTGTCCTCTTAGGTCTTGCCGTGATAGTCGTCGTTCGGGTCTCTCCATGGGGCGGCTTTGGGCCTGCGGCAAAGGGGCTGAGGTTCTTGATACATGTTCTTGTGGTCATGTTCCGAATGAACCCTCACCACAGGTATCGGAGCCTTCAGGCCTTCATGTGGCAGCGCCCAACGCTGAGGGCACGGCCATGACCTTCGCGCCAGATTGTCGGGCCGGACGAAAGGGGGGGATTGGGAAAGGGGGGGTTACGAAATTTGCTGCATGCAGCTGGTTTCCGCTTCACCGAGGGGCCCATTCCTCGATACATGGGCGCCTCCCGGCGCCGGGCGACGCCGGGAAAGTCAGCTACGCGAGCTGATTCTCAAACCCCCCCTTTGCTATCCCCCCCTTTCGCCCGACCCGAGATTGGGAGGTGCTCAGGACGTGTTCCAAGGGTGCACGCACAATGCTTGTGGTGCTGGGGCGGACACTGCCGTGTGAAGCCGCTCGGAGCTCCGAGCTCCGAGCTCCGATCCTTCCCGGGAAGAGCGCTTGGCACTGGAGTTCTGCCATTCTTTGGCCGTGGCGTGGACCTTCGTACACCTTAGGCGATGCTTAAGAAAACTTAAGTTTTCGGCCAGAGTCTCGATTATTCTTAACTTTTCAATGTAAATCACAAGATGTTGATAGAAGTTCTGGGTTTTATTCAATTTCTGAGACTCTGAATTTCTTAACCCATGATTTCTTGAGCATTTCGCAGGGTGTATGTCAAATCTGTACAGTTTGGGGCCAAGCTCACGCGCGAGCGGTGCCATGCCCAGGCCCATTGATCAGAGCGAGGGTTCGCGGCGCGCGTGCACCAGGCCTCTCCGCGATCACGGCCATTCAGCACTTGTCCACTGCCCTCCGCATTTTGACAGGCATCGTGCATCGTCGCAGCTTGCAGTGCCAGGCCATGCACGCAGCATGCAGCTCCGCTCATGCGATCGACCGTTTGACTTGGGATCTCAGGAGTGTGTGTGGGAAGAACGCGAAGGTGGCGAAATTGAGCTCCACTGCCTCCGGGAACTACAGTCAAAACGCTGAAATAAGGATCACTGGGTTCTGGAGGGGCTTTGGTTTTCGGACTGCCCCTCAGGCTCAGGTATGGGGACCTATTCGTGGCCGAGGCTCGCGTGGCCAGGAAGGTACCGTCCTTCCTTCTTCAGCGTTCCTCATGGTAGCACGCTGGTCGTGTGCAAAGCGCCTGCCGCTCTTGTTCGATGGGGCGGTCTTGGCGTGCACGAGGGCGTGCGCCGCAGGGGTGCGCACCCCTTCGTCCTGCTCTCGGCCGTCCATAGCTTGGATACCCTGTGCTTGAGCAGAGCCCGCATTGGCTCGATTTGAAAGCTTGAGTGGTGATGCTGACCCCTGACCCACAGCGCCGGGGCCACGCTTTCGCTGAAACCGGGGCCTCCCACCTCGCACTCCGTGGCAAGCTTGCTCCTCGCCGTTGAGCCCTCGGGAGCCAGTCGCTCGGAGGACTGCTGCAGCGCCACCTACCGTGAGGCGAGGCGGCGCTGACGACTGCCACGAGGCTGTCGCCGAGAAGTCCCCAGCAGGCCTTCGGACCAGAGCCCGCGGCTCAGGCGCCCAGGCAAGTCGGATTCCGGATACAGTCGGGTCGGGGCGTTGAAGAAGGAACCCTTTGCGTTGGGGAGGGGCTCCGTGTTCCTGGATTGTTTCGCAGCCTGAGGTGTTCCCTGGTTTTTTTCGAGGGGAAGGCGAAGTGGAGTCGAAGTTTGACTTGTGGAATAAATGGGCCCTCGTTCCCTGTTTAGGGTTCCTTAGGTCAACGCCTCGACTGTAGGAGGCCAGTATTCGGTCCTGCAGCGCGCGCGCTGTCGCGCCGGGCCTCCCTCCAGGCCGTAGCCCGCTCGACCACCGGCCACGCGCGCAGGGTCGGCTCCCTCCGCAGCGAGGGCGCGCGGCTGGGGGCGGCCCTGCACACTGCCGGGGCGGGAGGGTGCTGCTGTGAAGTCGGGCCTGTCCCGCTACAGGAGGAATCTTCAGACATAGTCACAGAATAATCGGGGGGTGATGTTTGATTACGTTTTGCAGCGAGGGCACGCGGCTGGGAGCGGCCCTGCACACTGCCAGGGCGGGAAGGTGCTGCTGTGAAGTCGGGCATGTCCCGCTAGAGGAGGAGTATTCAGAAAAAGTCACAGAATAATCGGGGGATGATGTTTGATGACGTTTTGGCTATATGTTAGAGTATTTTGCATGTTTCTTCCAAACTCGGCCTTTAGGGGGGGCATGCCCGGCCAAATGCGATTGGAAGGCTCGAGAGAACAACAGCAACACATAAACAAACACAGAAACAAAACATAAACAAAACGGCGTGGATCCAAGAAATCCGCGCGGAGCGCCAACAGTTTTACGTTAATGGCGCTTTTTTTTTCTCTCCTAATACACAGACGAACGTTGATTCCCATGGGAATATCGAACATGCTGGAAGTGGAGGGGAAGACGACAAACCAGAACAAAACATGAAAGATACGGGGATTCCTGGAGCTTCTGTCTATTTTTTTGTTTGTCCCTGGGCCCCTTCAGTTCCTTCCCCTAATGGCGCTGAAGCTTGGTGGAGGGCGCTCCTGCCACCTGCGTCTCATCAGGAGTGCATGGCGCGTCTGCAGCACGCGCTCTTTTCCCAGACCAACCGCCAGCTCTTCTCACTCTCGCAGCTTGTCTGGGTGGTTCAGACTCAAAGTGAGGAGTCAGGAGAAGAAGGAGGATTGAATAGCTGAACAATGGCATAAGCAGAAACTTTCGGAGGTCCACGCGGAGTTCTTGGATCTGAGCTGGGCCCCCCTGGCGGCACCTCCGGCGCCGCGTACAGCGCCAATGCAAGACATTTACCCAGGCCGTCTCCGAAAGTTTATGTCATGCCATGTTGTTTTGTTCTAGAAGAAGCAGGGGGCAACAGGGCTCTCCGACCCCGCCGGTGAGGACTTCTTCAAGCAGTCCACCACTCGGCTCCACTTCATCGCGGACCGCATCGTCTCCATGACGCTCGAGATTTACAAAGATCCCAAGAAGATGGTCGCCGTCGTGGGGGGGGGGAGGTTGTGACGATGTAGTGCGCATGACGGAGGGGGGTTGGACCAGATCGGTTATCCACGAAAGTGTCGAAACACAGCAGCCTGGGGGAGCGTTCCCACCCGTGTGAGCGCGGGGGACCGGCCGCACCACACGCTCGGGGAGCGTTCTGACCCTTGAGCCGCCCGCCCCGTCCCTGTTCTCCTTCGGCCGCGTCCTTTCTCCCTCCTCCGCTTGCCTGGTGGCACAATTTCGCTCTAACGGCATCCCCGCTTCAGCCTCTCATCGTCAGCGCAGGCTCCCGCTGCCCAGTCGCCGACGCAAAAACGTGAGCGCAGGAGTCCAGAGCGCCCGCTGTGCGGACACATCCTCCGCTTTTTGCGGACGGGCTCCACTGGCGGAGGTGGGGGGGGGATACGAGAAAATATGGAGGAGAGAGCCGAGAGAGCGCAGGTGCGAGAGAGCAGATTTCCCAAGCAGGGGGCTGGAGAGAGCGCTGGTGCGCGCAGCGTGCCGAATTCTCCGGCGGCGCCCACGCGGGCGGCGAAGCGTGCCGCCTCGCCGTGGCCACTCGGCCTTCCCGTGGCCTCCGTCCCCCGCCGCGTGTCGCCACCCTGCCCGCGCCCTCCCCGGCCTCTGTACCTCCGATCCCCCGCTGCTCCATGCCTCCCTCCGTCCCCGCCTCCGTCCCTGCTCCTCCCGCTTCCCTCGGCTCCTCCCATCTCTTCGGCTCGGCTTCTCCCGAGGCTGCACATCGTCATCGCCATCGTCACCATCCCCGTCTTCATCGACAGCGTCGTTATCGTCATCAACTGCACCAACTTCGTCATCATCATCAGCATCCTTATCAGCATTAATGTCATCACCATCTTGTTTTTCAGTAGCACCGTCATCATCAGCATCATCAGCAGCATCATCATCACAATCCTCCTCTTCCTCGTCATCACCATCATCATCACATTCATCATCATCCTCATCCTCATCCCCATCAGCATACCACCCTCATCATCACCATCATCATCAACAACAACAGCATCACCATCAGCATCATCAGCATCATCAGCTTCTTCATCATCCTCATTACCTTCGTCATCACCACCATCATCGCCATCAGTACCAGCATCATCATCATCACCACCATCAGCATCATCAGCATCACCATCATCGCCAACATCATCAGTATCGCCATCAGCATCAACGTTATTTGCATCATTATCAGCAGCGAGATAATCAACACAACAGCATCACCATCATCATTCTCATGAGCACACGCATCATCAACAACGACACCATCGGCATCAGCATCGGCGTCAGCATCATCACCAGCATCATCACAACTATCATCATAACCAGCACCATACTCATCAGCACCATCAGCATCATCATCAGCATCAGCATCACCACCATCATCATCAGCATGATCATCATCATCATCAGCAGCAGCAGCATCATCATCATCATCCTTATCAGCAGCATGATTATGCTCATCACCGGTATCCTCATTATGCTGTTCTGTATCCTTATCGTTACCCTTATCCTCCCCCCTCCTCGCTGCCTCTCTTTCTTCCCTCTTCCCTCATTGATCCCTCCTTGCGTCTGTGCTTCCCTCCTCGTTCCCATCCGTCCCGCCTTCATGGCGAGGAGACAGCGGGAGGAATGGCATCAGCAGGTGGGCCACGGTCAGGGAGGAAGGGATGAGGGAGCTTCAGGAGGAGGGGAAGGATGAGGAAGCGAAGAATTGGGAGGAGGAGGAGGAGGTGGAGGAGGAGAAAGAAGAGAAGGAGGAGGAGGACAACGAGAAGGAGGAGGAAGAGGAGGAGGAGGAGGAGGAGGAGGAGGAGGAGGAGGAGGAGGGGGGGGGGATGAGGGAGGGTGAGGGTGAGGAGGAGGAGGAGGGGGAGGAGGAGAAGGAGGAGGAGGAGGGAAGAGAAGGAGGGAGTTTTTGTTGGAGCTTCCGTGGATCGGTTCTGCCCGGCGGCGGCCGCCCAGCCTCGAGGAATAATGATCGGCATGAGCATAGACTTTCGGAGGTCCGCACGGATTTCTTGGGATCTGTGCTGGTGCCCTCTGGGCGGTGCCCCCGTCGCCGCCCCTGACATTCTCCGCGCCCAAGGGAAGTGGGCCCAGCGCCGACCCGAGGAATCCGCTCTGTCCTTCGAAGGGCTGTGGACTTCCAGTGGTGTTTGCTTCCTGCTGTTGCGTGCGCCTGCACCCCGAGGGGGCCTCGGGGCAAACGCAGCCAGAGGGGGCACCGTCCCCCAGGATTTGCCCCTCAGGCAGGTCGGTTGGTTGTTTGCCCTTCCGGCGGGGGGGTGCTGCTGCTGCTGCTGCTACTGCTCCTTCTCCAACCCCTGCTCATCCTCCTGTTCCTCCTCCTCCTCCTCCTCCTCCTCCTCCTCCTCCTCCTCCTCCTCCTCCTCCTCCTCCTCCTCCTCCTCCTCACCATTGCCCTCCTCCTCCTCCTCCTCCTGCTCCTCCTCCTCCTCCTCCTGCTCCTCCTCCTCCTCCTCCTGCTCCTGCTCCCGCTCCTCCTCACCCTCCTCCTGCTCCTCCCGCTCCTCCTTACTCTTTTCCTTCTCCTTCACCCCCTGTTCCTTCCCGTTCTCCCCATCCCCCTCCTCATCCCACTACTCCTCTTGCCCAGGTCGAGGACATATCCGCCCTCGGCCTGAGGCACGTCGGTTACGGGATTCCCACGGAGCTCTTCGGGCCGTTCGTAACTGCGTGCGTGCAGGTGGTGCGCAGTCTCACCGACGACGACGGCGCCGAGGAGGCGCCGAGAAAAAACGTCGTCGTGGTCGGCGTCTGCTTGGATTTGTTTGTTCGGAGGTGGGGACGGGGAGCATGAAACAGAGGATGAACCTATACATACCTTTACCACCGCTACGGTCGGGAACGTTTGGATAGTGTGTCGCTGCGCTGGTCCTGGCCTACCAAGCTTCGGCGCGACACGGTATCCACGTCCCAGTCTTCAGGCGTCAATGTCCCAAGCTTTTTCCGATCCTCTCGCCCCGCCAGCGGAGCGACACGCCATCCACTTGCGAGGCGGATGGAAAATGGTGTACCAGAGAAGGAAGCTATTCTTACAGATACGGCTACTCTTGTCAGGACGCGCTCCAGGAAAGGTCTACGAAGTAGCGGTATCGGTATGTTGTTGTTCCCCCTGCGAGGAGGAGGAGGAGGAGGAAGAGCAGGAGGAGGAGGAGGAGGAAGGTGACGAGGGCGAGGAGGGCGAGGATGAGGGCGACGACACAGTGGGGGGGGGGGCGAGGAGGAGGAGGAGGACGACGAGGAGAGGCAGGACAACGATGACGAGCAGGATAAATGGGCAGGACGGGGGGAGGGGGAAATGAGGAGAAAATTCAGCAGCAACATGGGCGTCGTCGTCGCCCTCGTCCTCCTGGGGCCCTCCAGGCTTTCCGATGGTCCCTCAGCCTCATCTCGCGCATCCTGACGCGCGTGATCACGGAGGGCTCCACCATCGTCATGAAGGCCATTTCGCGCGCGATGGGGGGAGAAGGAGGAGGACGCATAATGGCAGCGGAGGACGAGGAGGAGGGAGGGAAGCAAGAGTAAGGTGGACAGAGGGTGCAGGAGGGATGAGGGGCAGGAAGAGAGGGAGGGGGATGGGGATGAGGGAAGACAGACCCCTTCATATGCGGTCTCCACCTAAACATGTGTATCTCCGACAGCTTCAGCCCTAGGTGATTGCGCCAACGTCCAAATTGGGAGAAGAGCTGAGTTGAGTTGACGAGGAGGCGGAGGGGGAGAGAAAAGAGGGACGAGGGAGGAGCATAGTGAAGGAGGGAGAAGGGACGAGGAAGAAAAGAGGGAGAGAAGGCTGAGAATGGAGGGGGGACTATGAGGAGGAGAGGGGGAGGAGAGGAGAGGAGGCGGAGGAGCGGAGAGAGGAGGGAGGAGAGGAGGCGGAGGAGGCAGAGGAGATGGAGGAGGGAGGAGGAGGAGGAGGATAGGAAGAGGAGGAGGAGGAGGAGGAGCCGCTGAGGCCATCAACATGAACAGTGGCGCGCAGGTCCGCAAGGCCGTGGGCTGCGCCCCGCGCGGCAAGCGCGCCATGTGGATGCTAAACATCCAGGCCGCCCACTCTTCAAGGGCTCCCTCGAGGGCGCGAAGTTGTTCGCGCTTCGCGCTTCGCGGTCCTCGTTCCTTCTCCCCCTCCTCCTCGTCCTCCTATTCTCCCTTTGGGAGGGCGGCGCGAGGGCGCGAAGTTATTCGCGCTTCGCGCTTCGCGCAGCGCGAAGCGCGAAGTTGGGAGCCCTTGCTCTTTTTGATCCTCCCCGTCTCTGTCGTCGTCATCGGCCCCGCGTCGGGCGAGCCCGCGCCCCGAGCCCTCTGCGTTGGGGCCCAGCGTTCGCCAGGCCAGCGCCCGTGCTGCCTGCCACTGCGCAGAGCGCAGCACTCAGTCCACCGAGAAGGCTCGGGTTCGGCAGCTCCCGCATCAGAACCTTGGCACTGCATGCTGGAGCATGTCTGTTAACACGCGCTGGCTTCAATGCTCTTGACGGCCTTGGGTTCCATGAGCTCGTATCGAAGTGAATCCTCCTCTCCTCCTCCTCCTCCTCCTCCTCCTCCTCCTCCTCCTCCTCCTCCTCCTCCTCCTCCTCCTCCTCCTCCCTCCTCCTCCTTTTCCCTCCGCCTCGTGCGTTGTGTGGGTATGCCGAGGGTCTGCTGCGTTGCCGCCCGTTGCCGCCTGCGTGGGTATGCTGAGGATTCGCCACGTTGCCGCCTCGTTGCCGCGCCGTTGCCGCCTCCTGCGCTGTGCGGGTATGCCGAAGATTCGCCACGTTGCCGCCCATTGCCTCCTCTCCTCCTCCCTCCTCCTCCTCCTCTCCTCCTCCTCCTCCTCCTCCTCCTCCTCCTCCTCCTCCTCCTCCTTTCCCTCCGCCTTGTGCGTTGTGTGGGTGTGCCGAGGATCTGCCACGTTGCCGCCACATTCTCGTCCGCTGCCGCCCGTTGCCGCCTGCGGGGATGTGCTGAGGATTCGCCACGTTGCCGCCGGTTGCCGCCTCGTTGCGGCGTCGTGGCCACCTCGTGCCTTGTCTGGGTATGCCGAGGCTTCGCCGCGTTGCCGCCCGTTGCCGCCTGTGGTGGCATGCCGAGGATTCGCCGCCCTGGCGCCCGTAGCTGCCCGCTGCCGCCTGTGGGGTTGGGCCGAGGACCCGCCACGTTGCCGCCCGCTGCTGCCTCGTCGTCGCAGCGGGCGCAGGGTGGATCTGCCGAGGATTCGCCGCATTGCCGCCTCGCTGCCGCGCCGTTGCCGCCCCGCGCACCGTGTGGGTTTGTCGAGCGGGTTTGTCGAGGGCTCGCCCGCGCTGCCTCGTGGGCGCCTCCTGGGCGGCCCGTGCTCCGAGCTTCCACCACGTAGCCTTCACCCGATAGCTCACGCCACAAGGCTTTCACGACATAGTTGACACCGCACGGGTTGCTCAATCGAACTGGCATCACATAACGTCTGCCCCACAGCTTCCACCTCCAGCCCGCACCGCCCAGCTGACATGACACAGCTGCAACGATGCCTGTTGCTCCGCACAGTTTTTTTTTACCACCACGGCTCACACCACAGAGCTGACATGACGCAGCTCTTTCACCGCATAGCTTCTACCTCCACGGAGCAGTAACGTATTGTTTCGTTTCAACGATTGCTGACATTGCTTTTATTATCGGGTTTCAGTATTTGGTCCCCCTGTGGTTTTGACAATCCGGTCGTTGTCAGCTCTCCCACATGATGTTGCCGTTGCTACGTGGGCCTCATGTTAGGATCGTTGCTCTGATCCTGTTGTTCAGAATGGCAATCCCGCCCCAGCGCGGACCACTTCTCTGCATCCGAGTACTTCCTCATCGATGTCGCCCCCATCCTCCTCTCATCCGCCTTCTCCCGGTCCTCCTGTTCCTCCCGCTCCTTCCGCCCCAGCTCCTGCTGCTGTTGTTCGTCCTCGGCCTCATCCTTCCCCATCTCATTCTGTTCCTACTCATCCTTCTGTTCATCCCCCACCTCCTCCTCCTCCTCGAATGTACGCAGTTCCCCCGGTCCGATTGCGCATGTGACAGCGGGGTCCTTTTTGGAAGTTCGGATCCGCTATGACACGCGTCGGTGATTAGAGAAAACTCAGCGCAATGGGAAGGGAAGGATGGGAGGGATAGGATGCCACATTTGGCGCGAGCGCACCTAGCGTGTCTTCCTTCCTCTCAACCTCCCCCAGTCCTCCCTTTTCTCTCTTGCTTCTCTTGCTTTTCCTTGTCTTCCTCCTCCTCCTCCTTTCCCTCCTCCTCCTCCTCCTCCTCCTCCTCCTCCTCCTCCCTCCACCTCGCCCTTTTCATCCTCCTCCTCATCATCCTCCTCTCAGTCCCCCCATCATCCGTCCAGGTCGGGACCCAGTCGATATCCCCCCTGCTCTGGGCGATCGAGACGGGCAGCCTCGAAGCCGCCAAAGCGATCATCCAGGACCAGCAGCATTTGCAGCAGCAGATGGAGTGGGAGGAGGAGGGTCCTAGAGGTATGAAAACCTGAAACTCCAGAACTGAGACTCGCCCTCTATTGTGGAGTTGTTTGCCCAGCTGCAGGTTCACCCTCCGTCCTAGAGGCTCGTTGAGGCACTGGAGAGGTATGAAAGGAGGGAGGGACATGCGGGTAGGGAGAAGCGAAGGAGGACAAGGACGAGGGGGACTGGGACGGGGAAGGGGAGGGAGAGGGGAGGAGGGAGATCTGGGACGCAGCAAGATTAATGCCCGCCCAACGTGGAAAAGTGTGGAATGTGGAGAGGACGAGGAGAGAGAAAGAGAGAGAGAGAGAGAAAAAAAAAAAAAAAAAAAAAAAAAAAAAAAACGGTAGCTGAGGAAGAGTAAGGACACCTAAGATACATCAGCGATGCTGCAACACACCCTCTCTTCCCACGTTTCTTTGTCGTAAGTGCCTACAGAAATTCTTCTTCCGTCTGGGACTCGCCCCCCTGGGAGAACAATTTAGGCGTGAGCATGAATGTGAAAGGAACGTACCAACCATTATAGCAATGATGAGAGCGAAGAAACTCCGACATTTTCAAAGTCATGCCAAGTGGGAACCCCGGTTTCAAAAGGATCGCTCCTCCCGCCAATGTGGGCATGCGCACAGCTTGCTATCTGACAGCTAGATCCGGAGGAACACCAAAGCGAGTGACCCAGTTTACCGGGATCCGCCCTGCAGCGGTGCAAATGCTGCACAGGTCGCAGCTCCTGTCCAAGCGAGAGCTACGTGTTCAAAAGGCGCAACCGTCCATTCGCCTAAGTGTGGGGCAGCTCTGCGAATGTGGCCACGAGCTCCCAGGCCCTCTCACGCGAGAGTTTCGCCTGGACACGGGGCGGCCCGACGCGCCCCGGTGGGGTCCGCCCGCTCGACCCGCCCGATCCGCCCCGTGAGGTCTTCCTCCTCCTCCTCCTCCTCCTCCTCCTCCTCCTCCTCCTCCTCCTCCTCCTCCTCCTCCTGCTCCTCCTCTTCCTCTTCCTCCTCCTCCTCCTCCTCCTCCTCCTCCTCCTCCTCCTCCTCCTCCTCCTCCTCCTCTGCGGTTACCCCGTGAGGATGCCTGACCGCCTTCTTTAACGTCCCGCCCGCCCGACTCGTTGGCTGGAGCATGTTCCTTTTACTGCCTGGGGCACGACGGGCGTCCCGGCCCCCGCTCCCCCCCCCCCCTCCCCCCCACCCCAAAACGTGACGATCCCCGTCCCCCCCCCCGCAGTGCGCTCCTGGCACTGCCGCCGTGCGCATCGCGATCCGCATGCGTGTCCGCTTAGGAATCAGAATAGGAGTCTGGTCCGCAGTCGTCGTCGTCGTCGTCGTCGTCGTCGTCGTCGTCGTCGTCGTCGTCGTCGTCGTCGCTGTCGCTCCTCGCTCCTCGCTCGTCGCTCGTCGCTCGTCGCTCGTCGCTCATCGTCGTCGTGCGCGCGGACGCGGGTGGAACCTTTTTTCCCGGGCCGATGACGGCAATCATTTTGGGGGGGAGGGGGCCGATGACGTCACGTTTCGCGCCGGTGGCGTCTGGGAATGCTTGGGAATAACCTAGGACGGGTAGCACCAGAGCGCCAGCAGTTTATGTTTATGGTGCCTTTCTTTTTCTAAGTAGACCCCGAAGCAAGAAGTGAGACGTCAGCAATGCTTGGTTCGTCTAGGCCTCCTACATGGGGTACGAGTAGATGGGGTCAGAGGATCGCGGCACATTGGCGATGCATCGGCGATGCGGCTCGATGCGGAGCCCGACTTTCTCCACGCAGACGGCGCCGATGCATCGCCGACGTCGCCAGTGCATCGGCGATGCGGCGCGAACCTTCGACCCCATCTACCCCGACCCCATCCAGGAGGCCTCCAGTTCTCGGGGGTGGGCAGAACCCCCAACAGTGACGCGTCGATGAGTGAATTGTCCGTGTTCGGCTCTCGAGAGGGCGCCGTGGCCACTGTTTTCCAGGCTTGCGCCCGCCAGGTTTGGGCCTGAGGTCGTTTTCACTAAACCACGTTTTACTCAAGGGGGGTCTGTCCATCCCCGAGACTAGGGGGGGGGGATCTCATGGCGGGGCCATGGTATTCCCCCAGATTTTGGTGGCGCCTCTTCTTATGTCATCACGTCCCTGGCCCCCTCCGCCGGGCCGCGCACGTGCCGCTGGTCATGATCTGCATCCCCCCCCCCCCCTTGGACACCCCCCTCTTGGCCCCCTTACTCAAGGGGGGTCTGTCCATCCCCGAAGTTCGGGGGTTCAGGGATCGTCCGTGTGGCGGGGTGCCGCCCGCGAGGGTGCGGCAGGTTCGCGCCGTGTCGGCGCGGGTCGGCGACGCCCGCGGGGGGCGTGCGATGTTTTGTTTTTTTTGTTTGTTGCTTGCCAGCGCCAGGAGGTCGCTCCCATCGGTGGAGGAAGAAGGGGAGGGTAGCAGGGGGGGAGGGGAGGAGGGAGGAGGGAGGAAGGAGGAGGGAGGAGGGGGTAGGAGGGAGGAGGGAGGAGGAGGAGGAGGAGGAGGAGGAGGAGGAGGAGGAGGAGGAGGAGGAGGAGGAGGAGGAGGAGCAGGAGGAGGAAGAGGAGGAGGAGGAGGGAGGAGGAGGAGGAGGAGGGTGGCAAAGGAAACGACCAAACCCACTCCCGCCCAGAGGGCTGGCGGGATTAACGTTCGGACGTTCTTTCGCCTCTCTGTAGGCCCTCGCGCGGCTATCTTGGGAAACAAAACACCGCGCGAAAGAAGAAGGAGAAGAAGAAGAAGAAGAAGAACGAGAAGAGGAGGAGGGAGCACGTAAAGAAGAGAAATGCTTCCATACCTCTGCATGCACATGAGCAGTGTTCAGTTTGGCTGCGAAGGGTCCCGCAGAGGGACGAAGCGTCGGCCCGACACTGACAACACATTTGCATCAGGGTGATTCCATCGTCCGGCTTGGTTGTCTTACCTTGATCCGGGAGCAGCACACGCACCAGCGCGGGAGCGGTGGCCGCCGCCGCCTCAGCGCCTCGGCCTTGCGGGGGCGCCCGCTCAGCAGGCCCTCGCTGGGGGGCCGGCATCGCCGACAGCGGCCTGGAATTGGCGGCCATCGAGTGATCCGCGCTTCTCTGAAGCCCGCGGCCGTTCGAGGCTGACCGATCCGCGCGCTGCCATCTACCAATGCCAACGCCGACGCCATCGCGATGCGAACCAGCCGTGTGGAGGGCCGTCCCGGCTGCCGCCCAGGGTCGATTGCGATCCGAACGGTCCGATTCGATGGTCTCGATTCTGGCCGGCTCGATCCGCTTCGATTCTCCGATTTTCCGACCCGGCGATCCGATGCGGCCCGAGGCTTGCATGGCGCCGTTGTGCATCTTGGCGCGGCCGATCCGATTCGACCTCGACTCCGTGCGATGCACCCCGATCCAGCGCACACTCTGGTTCGACCCCGTGTCCGGAGTCGAGGCCGGTTGGTCCTGCCGCGGGGAAAGCGAAGAGCAGGAGGAGGTGGAGGAGGCGAGCGAGCGCAGTTTTCCACCGTGCGCGGGAGGTGCGGGCGAGGAGCAGCGAGGGTGAAGCATTTGCGCGGAGGTCCGCGCGGGCTTTCTGCCTCGGCGGGGAGGTCCTGCGCCGATCGAGGACACCACCACGGACACGTGAAAGTTCGGGCAGAATCACCGAGCCCGGTCTGCTGTAGCTGGTGTTTTCTCGGGTGACGGCAGTTCCGGTTGATGGAACGGGGCGGGGGGGCGTCCCCCCAGTACACACCACTAAACCAGGTCCCCCAAAACCCAGTTCTGCCAACGCCCGGTTCATGCTTGTGCAGATGTGTTTTTGCCTGGTGTAGGAGGAGGAAAACGAGAGCAATCGTCCAACCTGCGCCACCGTGCAGCCCGCTGAGCGAGAGCGGCTGCTGGCGCTTCGCCTGCAGCCGCACTGTCGAGCAGGGGGACGGGGTCGCTGCGAAACGCTGCCATAGGAAAAGTGCAATCTTGCAGGACCTCCTTACAATACGGGCGGACCGGGACCGCTACTACTACGGGCTCGACACCTTGTTCGAGCGCCACGAAGACATCGTAAGGCGAGGATGAGGATGAGAAGGAGGGCGAGGAAAACCGAGGGCGATGGTAAGAACTCAAGAAGGCCAACGTGTTCGGGGTTCCCTCAGCTCACCGGGGGTATCGGGGTCCGAGGCGGGTCCTCTCCCGGTCGCGGGAAGCTTGGCCGGGTGTCCTCCTTTTGTTGGGGCGGCTTGGAATTCGGGCGGGACCGCTTGGCAGGGGCGCCAGTCTGCGCAAGACGGGGATAGGGATTGCGATCGGATGCTGCCACCCGTGACTAAAAACGCGACTCTCTCATCCCACCCTTGGGAACAACGCTCACACAGGTTGTGCAGTGGCATTGCGTGTGGTGCCGAAGGATGGCCCTGCTCCAGTCTTGAAAGTCTTGAGAGGAGGAAGGGGAGCTGGAGGACGAGGATGAGAATTGATGAGGAAAAGATGAAGAAGGAAGTATAAGGGAGGGAGCGGGGGTTGAGCAGGAGGAGGTCTTGCTGGCGATATGCTTCTGGGAGAGGAGGAGGAGGAGGAGGAGGAGGAGGAGGAGGAGGAAGAGAGGAGGAGGGAGGAGAGGAGGGGAGAGGAGGAGGGGGAGGGAGGAGGGAGGGGGAGGAGGAGGAGCAGGGAGGAAAATAGGGGGAGGAGGAATAATATGAGAATGCAGAGGAGAAGGAGAAGGGAGGAGGAAGAGGACGATGATGAGGGAGGAGGAGCATGGGAGGGAAGAGGCCGAGAAGGAGGGGAAGGAGCAGGAGAAGGGACTGCTGGCGGTACGCGCTCGGGGGGTGGATGAGGAGGAGGAGGAGGAGGAGGAGGACGAGGACTGAACAATCATTCATAGTAATAGTTAATAGTAACAAGAATATGGGGAGGAGGACGTGGAGGAGGAGAAGGGGGAGTTGCAGGAGGTCAGTGAGGGATGGAGGAAAAGGATGAGTGGGAGGAAGGAGGAGGGAGCTCAGACATCCAACGATGTGGCGTTGGAGGATCGAGAGGACTGCAGGAAAGCGGACCTGCTACTGAAGGTGCCCGCACCGGCCCCTTAAAAGCTTGCCACCGCGGGCCTGACAGGTGGTGGAAAGCTGCGGGCGTCTTTCCCCCCAAGGTGATCCCCCCGTTCACGAAGACCCGAAGTGGGCGGGGGAAGGGGGCAATTCGAGGAGGACCAGGATCGGCCACGCGCAGAGGGGGATAGGGGGAGGGGGGAAGGCTTCTTAGAAGGACCCCTGCTTCTTAGAACGCGCGGGCCTTTGTTTAGATGTAAGGCCAGCGCCTTCTAAGAAGCAGCCTCCCGCCGCCAACTGGAGGTGGAGGAGGACCGGGAAGACTCTCGGAGGCGTCGACGGCGCGGTGCCCCGAGGGCCTCCTCGCGGGCCTGGCGTCGCCAGCACTCAGTCCTTGCTGGCAGCCGCCGCCTACGACGCGTCCTCTGGGCCCCCCCTCTTTTGGGGGAGCGGCGGGGGCCTCCCCGCCCCGATATGCGGCGACGGAGTTTCCCAGCCGGGCCCCTGGACAACCTCTTCTCCCGAGTGGCGCGGGGGCAGGCGCTGCTGCTCCTCGGCGACCTGCGCTGCGTCGGGGGCGACGCCGCGGAATTCGCTGCCTGAGCTGCGCGCCGCATCGCGCAGCTGCCACAGGTGCTCTCCTGTGCCATCTTTGACCCCGCGTGCCCTGGGGGCTTTCCCAATCGGAGGGTGGTCGGGTAGATTTGCCCAGGGTAGGCTCATCGTTGACGCCGCCTCCTCCTCCTCCTCCTCCTCCTCCTCCTCCTCCTCCTCCTCCTCCCCTCCTCCTCCTCCTCCTCCCTCCTCCTCCTCCTCCTCCTCCTCCTCCTCTCCTCCTCGTCAACCTCCTTGACAGGCACCGAACGCGCCTGTCAAAAAGCCCCCCCCGCGCGCGCGGGCGGCGCGGCCCTGCCGCGCTGGGCTTCGAGCGCGGGCGACGACTCGTGCGCGGCGCCGGGGCGAGAGCCGCACTCTGCAGAGGACCCGCCCTCCAGCCGTGGCTGCTGCAAATCCAGAGCTTCGGGACCACTCGTCGCGAGGAGGTCTCGGGCGGAACGCCCGGCCCTCCCTGCCGACACGCCGGGGGGTGCGACAGGGAGGAACTGCTTATAAGGAACATGGATGGAGGAGGAGGAGGAGGAGGAGGAGGAGGGAAGGGGACGAGAAAGAGGAGGAGGACCAGGAGGACCAGTGCAAAGCCAAGACCAAGTTCCTTCCTCGCAGGTCCCTTTCGGATTTAAATGTATTGCGAAAGTGCCCCATTGGAAGGCAGCCGTTTGAGAATCTTCAATCGTGTGAGAAATATTGTTGTTGGGGCTTCAGCGCCGCGAATCAATGTGATTGTTCTGACCGGGCGGTATCAGATCGCTCCCACATTCCATTCCTGCGACCCCACCATCGCGAAGCTGGCCGTGGCGGCTGGACAATCCTAAATCGTTCCACGACGCCGTTTCTGGGACTCCAGCGTTCAACCATGCGAATATTTAGAAACGCTTTCAACTTTCAAGACGCATGTGCGCAGCGCCGAGGCGGGAGCCTCATATTGAAGAGGGCTCGCCCTGCATCCGTGGAATGTGCGCGGCGCGAAGGAGAGGGCTACATTTTGAAAAGGGCCCGCCCTCCATCCATGAACCCGCTGCAAGTCCAAATCTTCAGGAGCATACGTTGTGAGGAGGTATCAGGCGAAATTCCTGGCCCGCCCCTCCAAACAAGTCTGGAGGTGCGACAGGGAGCAGTTGATTTCAAGGAGTTTGAGGAGGAAACATACGACAACTAAGAAGAATAATCATAATAATACATAGAAGAAGAGTAAGAAGAAATAACAAGACGAAGCTCCAGAGACTTCCGCGGAGGCTGACGTCTCGCCCTCGGCGGGGGCTCGGCGGAAGGCCAGCGGAGGCCGCCCTGGAAGCAAAGTGGAGGCTGCCTCAATCAGACTTCCAGGAGGAGGAGGAGGAGGCCGAGGACGAGGAGGAAGAGTACGAGGGATGAGGGAGGAGGGGGGAGGAGGTAGGAGGAGGAGGCAGGAGGAGGAGGAGGAGGAGGAGGCGGAGGAGGAGGCAGGAAGATGAGGCAGGAGGAAGAGGGAGGACGGAGGAGGCAGAAGGAGGAGGAGGAAGAGGAGGAGGAAGAGGGAGGACGGAGGAGGCAGAAGGAGGAGGAGAGGAGGAGGAGGAGGAGGAGGAGGAGGGAGGAGGAGGGAGGAGGACCTGGGAGGAGAGCACGCGGCCTGCGGGAGGCGCCTCTGCATCGACGCCCCCGCACTGCTCCCCGCCCTCCTGGATGGCCTCGTGTGGCGCTCGCGCACCACCGAGAACGGCAGCCGGCGCGTGAACTATCCCGAGGGGGCCTCCGCACCACTCCGCCCGCCACGGAGAGAGAGAGAGAGAGAGAGAGAGAGAAAGAGAGAGCGAGAGAGGAGGAGAGAGAGAGAGAGAGAGAGAGAGAGAGAACAACCACAACAACAACGACAACAACAATAGCAACAACAGCAACAACAAGAACAACCACAACAACAACAGCAACAACACAAACAAAACGCGTTCCTCGCCATTCTCGCCCTTCTCCTGCTTCTCGCCCTCCTCCTCCTCCTCCTCCTCTTCGTCCTCCTCCTCCTCCTCTCCATCACCTTTCCCTTTCGTCTCCTCCTCCTCCTACTACTACTCCGTTTTCTCCTTCTCCTCCTCCTCCTCCTCCTTCTTATCCTTCTCCTCCTCTCCCTCCTCCCCAATTCCACCCTCCTCCTCCTCTTTCTCATCCCCCTTCCCTCTCTCCTCATCCTCCCCCTTCTCCTCCTCCTCCTCCTCCTCCTCCTCTTTCTCCTGCTGCTCCTCCTCCTCCTCTTCCTCCTCCTCCTCCTCCTCCCTCTTCCCCTCCTCATCCTCGGCATTTCCCTTCTTCTTCTTCTCCTCCTCCTCCACCCTCATTCTGCGGAGTTCGAAACCCTTGATGACCATCATGGGCATGTGGTCGCTTGTCATCTCCCTCCTCCCCCTCTTCCTCCTCCTATTCTCCTCCCCCCTCCTCCTCCTCCGCCTCCTCCTCCTCCCCTCATCCTCATTATCCTCCTCCTCCTCCTCCTCCTCCTCCTCCCTCATCATCATCATCATCATCATCATCATCATCATCATCATTAGCATCATCATCATCATCATCATCAGCACATCATCATCATCATCCCCTCCTCCCCCTCCCCCTCCTCCTTCTCCTCTTCCTCCTCCACCTCCTCCTTCCTCATTCTGCGGAGTTCGAAACCCTTGATTACTATCATGGGCATGTGGTCGCTTGTTATCTCCCTCCTCCCACTTTTCCTCCTCCACCTCCTCCTCCACCTCCTTCTCCTCCTCCCCCTTCCTTTTTTGTTCCTCCTCCATCCCTTTTCTTTGTAAATAGCTTGTCCCTGTCGCACCCCGAGGCCAGCTTTTAGGGCGGGCCCGGCGTTTCGCCTGAGACTTCCTCACCATTTATGACCCTGGAGCTTAAATTGGCAACAGTTTCACAGATGGAGGACGGGTGGCTTCCAACATATGGCTCTCGTCTTAGCGCCGCGCACATTCGTGTTAACACTTTGCAAAAGCTTCACGTATTGAGGGCGGGTGGTTTTCAAAATGTGGGTTTCGCCTTAGCGCCTCGCGCATTCGTTCTTAACATTTGCAACAGTTTCACGGATTGAGGGCGGTTCCTTTCCAAATTGTGGTTCTCGTTTCAGCACCGCGCACATTTGCTCATACATGTTGCAAGGGTTTCACGGGCTCCCATGATCAACGTACTAGAAATCGTCTTTTGGAGGGGTTCAAGATTATGCGGGTGCGACAGTTACGTTGGTTCTCGGTGTTGAAGTCCCAGGAATAGCGTTCTGGTGCGGTTCAGGATTGTCAGGACGCAACAGTCAGGTTGATCCGTGGCGTTGGAATCCCGAGAACCATGTTTTGGCATTGCTCAGGGTCTTTAAACGGTTGTCTTCCAACGAGGCAGTTCCCTCAACCGATGTACGGGGCATTTGCATGGGGAGCTTGGAGGGAGGGTTTATTACAGCATCGTTGATGGGTCCTCATCCTCCTCCTCCTCGTTCTCCTCCTCCTCCTCCTCCCTTTTCCCCTCCTCCTGTCGCTGCTGCTGATGGCATTGAAACCGAACGTGGTGCTGCCCACTCCCCTCCTCCTCCTTCCCAACGCCATGAAAAGAGACGCAGTCCTCCTCCTCCTCGTCTTCCTCCTCCACCTGAGGCGCTGAGGCACTGATGGTAATTGGGTCATCCTGACGCTGACATCATATCCTCTTCCTCTTCTTCCTCCTCCTCCTCCTCCCCCTCCTCCTCCTCCTCCTCACTCCTCCTCCTCCTTCATCCTCCTCCTTCTCCTCCACCTCCTCCCCCTCTTCCCCCCCCCACTCCCTCCCTATCACAGCCTGGCGCGGCTATCCCTCTCCACCGCGGCGTCGCCCCAAGCGCGGGCGTGTGGCTAATGCCGCGGCGGTACCTCCGCACGCCGGCGACGGTAGGTTCCGAAGTGAAGAGGAGTAGGAGGAGGGCCGAACACATGCTACCGTATTCTGACCAACAAGGAGGAAAAGGGGAAATGAAGCAGGGAGGTTGGCCAGGTATCTCAGTGGAGCTACAACGTGAATGCTGCAGACATCGTGTCTTGTTTGCAACACGGTGTATGGAATACCCTTGTCTGTATCGTTGTAGACGGGGTAGCCTTGATCTTCCTTCTCCCTCACCCCCTCCTGAGTCGATATCTGTAGTCTGCGTTTTCAGGTAGGGCGGTCTCACCGTGAGTATTGCGCCATCCCGTAAATTGTATCGAACAAGATTTCAGCATGGAACATAACTGGGATAACTCGGTAACATTTGGGAATCCCTGGCTAGCCTTCGGATGATACGAGGTAGTAGGCTCAAGACGTCTCTTGGTACATGATGGCGAGCCGCTTCTTGGGGTACTTGTCGATGGGTTTGACGTTGGTACTCTTGAAGGCTGATAGCCATCGATCCCGATCGGAATGCCCAACGCTCCGCAGTGGTATCCTACGCGCCCAAGGTACCCTCGAGGCCATTGTGGCGCCTCTGGCCTTTCGGCCCGATACTTCGGGTGGGCACCTCCTGTCGTAGTCCTGCGTGCTCAGGTGCCTAGGCTTGTTCTGGTGGCACGGCTAGTTCTGCTGGTAGCTGAGGTGGTTGCCCTCGTCGCTCCGCTGGTGGTCCTCGTAGCTATGCAGGTGGCTCTCGTAGCTCAGGTTGGGGTCAGCAGGTGGCCTGTGTAGTTGAGTTGGTGGCTCTCGAAGCTCTGCTCTTGGCCGATGCAGTTCAGCTCGTCGCCCCGGTAGCTCTGTCAGGAGGCTCTCGTAGCTCTGCTAGTGGCCCGCGTAACTCAGCCTGCTGCCCTCGTAGCTCGGCTGATGGCCCTCGTATCTCGGCTGGTGGTCCTCGTAGCCCTGCGCCTAGCCCTAGTAGATCAGCGCGTTGTCCTTGTAGCTCAGCGGGTGGCCCTCGTAGGACTGCTGGTGGTTCTCGTAGCTCAGCAGGCCCTCGTTGGTCAGCTGGTGACCCTCGTAGCGCTACTGGAGGCGATGGGCGCTCGGGAGATGGCCCTGGTAGCTTTGCTAGTGGCTCCAGTAGCTCTGCTTGTGGTACTCGTATCTCAGCTGATGGTCCTTGTGGCTCAGCTGGTTGCCCTCGAAGCTCTGCCAGTTGCCCTCGAGGCTCCGCTGGTAGCTCTCGTAGCTCAGCTGGCGGCCCTCGAAGTTCTGGTGTCTCTCGAAAGCTTGCTCGTGGCCCTTGCGGTTCAGCTCGTCGCTCTGGTAGCTACTGCAGGAGGCTCTCGTAGCTCTGCTTGTGGCCCCAGTAGCTCGGCTGGCGGCCTCTGTGGCTCGGCAGGTGGCTCTCCTAGCTCAGCTGGTGGCTCTTGAAGCTCAGCGCGTGGCCCTCGTGGCTCTGCATCTCGCCGTTGAAGCTCTGCCCGTGGCCCTCGAAGTTCAGCCAATGGGTCTCTAGGCTCTGCTTCTTGCCGTCGACGTTCTGCCGGTTGCCCTCGAGGCTCAGCTGGTGGTCCTCGTGGATCCGGTTTCGTCGAACCGGTGCCGGTGGCCCTCGAGGCTCAGCGAGTGGCTCTTGAGGCTCTGCTTTTTGCCGTCGAAGCTCCGCTGGTTGCCCTCGGAGCTCGGCTGTTGGCCCGGGGGGCTCTGCAAGTGGCCTTCGAAGACGTGCTTCGTGCCGTCGAAGGTCTTCTGGTTGCCTTCGTGAGTCTGCTGGTGGCCCTGGAGGTTCCGAAGGTGGCTCTCGACAAGCTTGCATGGTGGCTGGCAGTGTGGGTAAGCCGTATGTGGCGTAGTCGTCGTTGATGTTGTGCTCGCCGTAGCTTTTGTAGGCGTCGCGGTCGTCGGATACATCATCGGTCTTCCCGGCCTTGTCGTGCCTCGTGTCGCACGTGGTGTTGGATCTGTCGCGCTTGTCGCATTCTTCTGAGGCTGCCTCTCACGCAGCTCTTCGTAGCTTGCCGCCTCTTGGCGCCCTCGTGGTGCTCCATGGTACTGGCTGGCGCGCCTCACCACTGAGGCGACGTCCTTCTGAGTGAAGTAGCCGCCCGTCCGCGCGGCGTACCCCAGCCTGCGCTCTGCGTCGCGCGCTGCCCTCGGCCTCCAGCGGCCAGGAGGAGGAGGAGGAGGAGGAGGAGGAGGAGGAGGAGGAGGAGGAGGAGGAAGAGGAGGAGGAGGAGGAGAAGAAGGAGGAGGGGGAGGAGGAGGAGAGGAGGAGGAGGAGGGGGAGGAGGAGGAGGAGGAGGAGGAGGAGGAGGAGGGGGAGGAGGAGGCCCTGCTCGTCATGGACTGCTGGTCCCCCCCGCCTCCCTTCCCCCATCGCGCGGCGGCGGGCCGTGCGGGCCGAGGCCGGCCCAGCTGCCCTCTGGGCCCCGAGTGCGGGGGATGGATCCTGCATATGGCGTTCTCCTCCTCCTCCTCCTCCTCCTCCTCCACCTCCTCCTCCTCCTCCTCCTCCTCCTCCTCCACCTCCTCCTCCTCCTCCTCCTCTTCCTCCTCCACCCTTTCCTCATAGATGCTCCTGCCTGTCGCACCCCGAGACGGGTCGGTAGGGCAGGCTGGGCGTCTTGCCCAAGATTGTCTCACCATTTATGATATTGGAGCTGAGAATTTGCAAGATTTGCACGGATGGAGGGCGGGCCGTTTTCAAAATGGTGTTTTCGCCCTCGCGCCGCGCACGTTCGTCTTAACAGTTTACTTCAATTCTCAAGGAATATTATAGTTGAGTTTCCAGGAATAGTGCTTTAGTTCGATTTAGGATTGTCAGGACGCGACAGTCACGTTGAATCGCGATGGTGTTCTGGCACGGAGTCCCAGGCATGGTGCTTTGGCATGGGTGCAGATCTTCAGACGCTGGACGTTCAGTGGAGCATTCCCCGCAGTGAACCTACATTACTGTAGGGACCTATGAAGCTGGAATTCGGAGGGCGGTTTTATTGCAACACATCGTCGATGGGTCTTGGGTGTATACTGGTCTTGCTGGTCCTCCTCCGCTCCGAGGTCGTACCCGTGCTCCTCCTTATCCCCCTCCTTCCCGACTGCACGAAAAAAAAGACGCAGTCATCCTATTCCTCTTTTTCCTCCTCCTCCTCCGCAACGGAGAGACGCGGTCCTCCTCCCCTCCCTCTTCCTCCCCCTTCTTTTTCCCTCCTCTTCCCTCCTCCTCACCCTTCTCCAATCGTGCCACATTGTGGCGTTTCAGCCGGATCCAGCCGAATCCTCGCCCTTCTCTTTCTCCCCATCCTTCTCCTCATCGTCCTCCCCTCCTTTTTCTCCTCCTCCCTTCCCCTCTTTCTCCTGTCGCTGTCGCCGATGGCATTGGAACCGACAGCGGTGCTGCCCAACCCCCTCCTCCTCCTCCTCCTCCTTCTCCTCCTCCTCCTTCTCCTCCTCCTCCTCCTCCTCCTCCTGATCCTCCTCCTTCTCCTCCTCCTCCTCCTCCTCCTCCTCCTCCTCCTCCTCCTCCCCCTCGCCCTCCTGTCCATCACAACGAAAAGAGACGCAGTCGTCGTCCTCCTCCACCTCATCCTCGACCCCCCTCCTCGATCCTCCTCCTCCTCCTTCTCCTCCTCCTCCTCCTCCTCTTCCTCATCCTCCTCGCCCTCCTGCCCAACGCCACGAAAGGAGACGCAGTGTTCATGCTCTTCCACCTCCTCCACCACATCCTCCTTCCCAGCGCCACGAAAAGAGACGCCATGCTCTGCCGCCCTCTTCTTTCTCCATCTCCTCCCTCGACGCGACTCCGCCAGCGCCCCCCCCCCTCAACATTGACAGGGAGCATGAGGAGGGGGAGAATGAGGAGGAAGAGGAGAAGGAGTAGGAGGAATAGTAATAATATAATGTAGTAATACTACTAACAATAATACTATTAGTAATAACTAGGATAATAGTAATATTAATAGTAACACTAATAATAACACTAGTAGTAATCAGAATACCAACAATAAGGCAGGAGGAGGAGGAGGAGAAGGAGGAACAAAACTACAAACAGGAGAACGAGGGGGAGGAGGAGGAGGAGGAAGCGGAGGAGGAAGAGGAGGAGGAGGGGTGAACGAGCTCGTGCACCCCCACAGGGGTGAGTATACGTGTGAATCACGCGGGGGGAGGAACAGGGGGAATGGAGCAGCCGAACACATTGCTTCCTCCCCTTCCTCCCTCTTCCTGCCTGGACCCCTATTACGCATGGCCTTTCCTCCCCTTCTCTCCAGCTTCCTGCATCCACTCCCTCCCCCTTCCCGCGCGCGGGTAGCAGGAGGAAGATGCGCACACCCCTTGTCGCCCCCAGCAAGTGGGAGCCCGCGGACTACATCAAGCATCTCGTGGTGGATTCCAACGGGGACTTCGCGCAGGCGGTGGAGTGGATCACGGAGAACGGCGATCCCAAGCTCGTGTGCCACCCAGTCGTGGCGATGGTGACGGATACCGTATGGGGCCGCATCGCGTTCCGCACGTTTTTGATGAACAAGGTTTGGGTGCTCGTCACGTTGTGCGTCTTCGTCGTTGGCACCGGCGGCCTCAAGCACGAGAGCAGGGACGAGGGGAACCGCATGGTTGTTTTCTGTTGCCGTGCCTTTATCTACCTGCTGAGCCTGGGGCAGTGGCTGTATTACCACATGAAGAACATTTGCCGCGACGTGCGAAATAAGGCATACATGAAGGTTGGACATGTGCAAGTTCCGGCCTATCTCGAGAACTACCAGGATTGGGCCAGCCTATTCTTGACGGTGGTCCTATTGGCCATGCTTGGGTTGGAGCCTATCTTGCACTGCTTCCCACACAAAGACGAGGACATTCCTGTTCTCTCGGTGGGTGGAAGGATAAGAGCATGAAGGGGTAGGGGAGTGAGGAGGGGGGAGGGGAGAGGTGAGAAGGGCAGGAAGGGAGGGCATGTGTGTGTGGGGAGGCGGGGGAGGGGAGGGGAGAAGGGCAACGGGGCCACTTGACAGCATTTTGCATTGCTCCCCTCGCGAGGACTTCGAAGGTTCGGGGCTGTTCACAGAGGAGTGTCCCCAGGCGGAGACCATGAGCGCGGTGTTCGCGCAGCTGAGCGCGATTGCCACCCTCGTATACTTCAGCCTCATCATCGACCTCTCGGTATTCTCCACAAGGTCATCCCGTCCTTCCTCTTGCCTCCGCCACCCTCCCTATCTTCCCTTCCCCCTTTCCCCCTCCCCCACCTTCCATCCCTCCCACCTCCCCGTTGCAGGAGGAGTGTCGATACCCGTCGACGGAGCGGAGGGGCTGAGGGAGGAGAGGGAGGAGAAGTAGGATGAGAAGGAGACTGAGGGTAAGGATGCGGCGGAGAATCAGGAGGGGGAGCCTGTGGAGGAGCAAGAGTAGGAACCCGACGGGAGGCAGGAGGGAGGAGGAGTTGGAGGAGGAAACAGAGGAGGAGGATCAGCAGCTGGGGGAAGAGAAAGATGAGTATGAAGGGAAGGAGTAGGGTGATGTTTGCTTTCCGCCAGAGCATCCTGGCAAGTCTTGCTGCCGCCCCAGAGCCTGACTCCACGATGTCACCGACAAATTCGTCTGGGAGCCCAAAACGTCCAACGTTCCTCACCGAGCCTAGAGGGTCCCGGGCAAAGCATTGGCACCTCCGCCTCCTCGCACCTTGTCTCGACATATCGAACCCCCGACCTGTCCTAAAGCGCGTTCCTGGCCAGGCTTCTGGAGGAGGAGAAGGAGGAGGAGGAGGAGAATGAGAAAGAGGAGGATGAGGAGGAGGAGGAGGAAGGTGGAGGAGGAAGGAAAGAGGATGGAGGGAGGGAGGGAGGGAGGGAGGGAGGAGGAGGAGGAGGAGGAGGAGGAGGAGGAGGAGGAGGAGGAAGAGGAGGACAAGGGGACCTGGATGAGCAGGAGGAGGAGGAGAAGGAGGAGTAGGAGGAGGTGGAGGCGGAGGAGGAGGCGGAGGAGGAGGAGGACGAGGCGGAGGAGGAGGAGGAGGAAGCGGAGGAGGAGGAGCGTCGGAACGACACTCCAGCAAACAGGCAACAGGTAACAGGAGGAGGAGGAGGAGGCGGAGGAGGAGGCGGCGGCTGCCGCCCCAGATCCTGACCCCCGGAAGTTCCCAGAGGCCTCGGGAGCGCCGACGAGGGGCCAACAAGAAAAGCGCCGTGATGCCCCCGCCCTCGCCCTCGACCTCGTCGCGGGTCGAGGGCGAGCCTCGGCAGGGTGCGGTCGGGTCGAGGTCGGCTCGGGGAGGGGGCCCTGATGTTCTTCGTGTGTGTTGGACGCTCCTCTTTCGGCCGCGTCCTCCGCCTCTTCCCCCGCCTGCATGGTGGCACAATTTCGGCGTCACCCCAACATACGGTAGGTCTGCGTCGTGTCGACCGGCGGCGACCCCTGCGCGGGCGTTCAAGGTTGAACGCCGGCGGCGGCCCAGAATCGGTCGATGTTGAACGATTGGACGTTGCGGAAATGGCCGATCGTTCAAGGTTGAACGATCCCTGCGGTGTCAAAAACCAACGCCGGGGTCGACACGACGCAAACCTGCCGTACTAATACTATGTGTGCGTCACCCCCTTCCCAGGGGCGGCGCGCCACCGAGAAATCTTATAGCATATGCGTCGTGGGGGGGCGCTTTCTGGCCACACCGCTCGGGAAACGACATACTACATAAGGGCTCCCTCGAGGGCGCGAAGTTATTCGCGGTTCGCGCTTCGCGGTCCTCGTTCCTCCTCCCCCTCCTCCTCGTCCTCCTATTCTCCCTTTGGGAGGCGGCGCGAGAGCGCGAAGTTATTCGCGCTTCGCGCTTCGCGCAGCGCGAAGCGCGAAGTTGGGAGCCCTAACTACAAGATGGGTGTACCATATGTTCGGGTCGGACGCGCGCCTCCCATGAGGATATATAGTATTAGTATGTCTCCGTGCGTCCCACAATTCGCTCCGACGGCGCCCCCGTTCAGGCCCTTCCGCCAGCGCAGGCGACCCCTGCCTCGCCGCCGACGCCAGAGTTTGTTGGACGTTCTTGTGCATCCTGGGGACCATGTGCCCTCGAATGTTCTGTGTGTCTTGGCCGGCGGAGGGTCTCTCATGCTCTCGAATTGTCACATTGCCCCAGGTCCAGCCGCACGCTCCCCTTCCCGTCTCCTCCTTGTTTTGGAATCGCTCGGACGTGTGCCTCTTTCCTCGGCGGCGACCATCGAGGATCATCTCGGACCATCTGGCGGAAGAGCAGCTGGCCGAAGCCGAAAAAGATGTACACCTCAGGCGACGCTTAAGAAAACGTAAGTTTTCGGCCAAAGTCTCGATTATTCTTAACTTTTCCATGTAAATCCCAAGATGTTGATAGAAGTTCTGGGTTTTTATTCAAATTCTGAGACTATGAATTTCTTAACCCATGATTTCTTAAGCATTTCGCTGGGTGTACGAGGAATGGACGTCCTAGCGAAGGCAACCTCTTCCCTGCCGCGAGGGACCAGGCCCCCGGCCTCCCCGGGAGCGCGTGCCGGCCAGGATCCCGCGAGGCGGCGAGAGACGCCAAGGCGTTACAAAGACACAGAAGACTTGGGAGTCTGCCCACTGCTCCTGCTCCTCCTCCTCCTCCTCCTCCTCCTCCTCCTCCTCCTCCTCCTCCTCCTCCTCTCCTCCTCCTCCTCCTCTTTCTCTTCCTCCCCCCCCGTCCTCCCCCACTCCTCTTCCTTGTAGATGGCACTCCTCCGCTGATCGCCAGACGTGTCGGTAGGGCTGGCCGGGCGTTTCGCCAAGTATTGTCTCACGATCTCGGAGGTCGGGGGTAAGATCGCGGTGGAACGGAGAGCCCCCCACCGGGAAAGCGGTTTCGGTTTTGTGCCTGTGCCGTGCGTGCGGCGGGTGCCCTTTGGTGGCGCAGGGTGCCCCATTCGGTGGCGCGGGGTGTCCCAACGGTGGCTCGGGGTATCAAGCCGTGGTGTCTCGATTGTAGTTCGTGAGATCAGCTGTCCGATCCACAGTGAGATCGACGGTGAGATCGCTTGCGTGATCGGTCGTGATCTTGAGATCGGTCGTGACATCGGGAGACCGATGGTGAGATCGATCACAACGGGTCTTTGGCTCGGGGTGCCCCGCCGTGGCTGGGGATGTCCCATCATGGTATCCCGATGGTGTCTCGTGAGATCTCTTGTGAGGTCGATTGTGGGGTCTCTGTGAGATCGATATTGAGACCGATGGGGAGATCGATCGTGAGATCGAGAGTGCGATCGATATCGTGGGCGATAGTGAGATCGATGGTGAAATCCTGTGTGAGATCGATTGCGAGATCTAGTGCCACACCTCTTGTGCTCACCTTTATTCCGGCCTAGGTCAGGGACCCTGAGGAGGTCTCGACCGCTTTTCCAGGGCCCGTTTTTGCGTCCCAGAGCCCGCTTCTGATGGCCTCGGAGCCGCAAGACGGCCTCCCGGAGGCCGACAAGGTGTAATGGACTGCATGGCACCCTTGGTGATGGAATAGAGAGTTTTCACCCCGGTCGATCCAGAGCTCGACGCAGCAGAATTCATTGCGGTGGCGGCATCGCGGATGAGGTGTTCAGGGGTTCAGGTGTGGGTTGTTCGGTGTCCTCGATGCTTGCCTGGTTCCCGCCTTACTTTTCCCCGCAGCCGCTCTTGGCAATCACGCTGCCCCGCACGACCTGCTGCCGGTCTTACACGTTGTGCTACGTCTGTTCGGCATGCGAAGAAAGGGCGCGGGCAAGCAGCGCTCACTCTCTCATTGCCCAAGCGCGGCGCGAAGGACAGCCTCTTCCCCCGAAAGTGCGCTGAGGCAATCAGAGATTCGGCCCGGCTGGCAGACTGCCCGTTCGGCGATGTTGACCTGCTTCCCCGTGCTGCCGCCAAGCGGGCGCGCAGTCGGGCGGTCAGGGCGGTCCTGCGGCAGGACAGCCTCCCTACTTCCGAGTACCTCTTCATTCGGTGGCATCGGCTTAGCGCCGCCGCAACACGACAGCATACTTTCGCCTCGCAATTCACACACATTGAAGACGACGGCTTCTCTTCAGAACTTTGGCTCTGGCCTGGTACCTCCCCAAACGTACCGGCCAGTAGTTTGAAGATGTGCAGGAGCCGCGAAGATTGAGGGTGGTTCTTTCTCAAACTTGGTTTTCGCATGAGACTTCCTCATATCCACTGACCAGAGATGTAAAGTGCCCAACATGTGCCCGAACGGGGGGCGTTTCCTTTTCAAGACATGGCTCTCGTTAGACACCTCGCTGGAGTGTATGATTATACTTTGTCGCATTCCTTACATTTCGCTAGAAGGATGCAAGGTAGTTCATTATTTGAAGCGGGACGAAATGGCTAGCCAACGGGGTGTCGGTATTTCAAGTGGGTCTTTCGTGCAGTTCAGCGGAATGGTTTCGAGCATGGGCTTGAGCATTGTTGGCGCACCTTGGTTTAAGTATGGTTATCCTTCTCTCCCTCCCAGTCTCTTCCTTCCCTCTTCACCCCAACCCCTTTTCCTCCACCACGTCTCCCCTCTTCCTCCTCTTCTTCTCCCCCCTGTTCCTCCTTCTTCTCCTCTTCCCCCATGTTCCCTTAATCCTTAATCAGACCCCTCCCTGCCCTTCAATCGTTGCGCTGAGGTTCCATCGCTTGCAATTTGGTACGGTTTCCAGAGAGTCGCCGTCTGCCGGAACAATTATGTCGCCACAGCGCTGGTCGGCATCAGCAACACTGTAGCTCCCGAAGTATGTTTCGCGTTTTCTGGATTTTGCTTTGAGTGTCCGTCTCACGGAATGACGCTCTCGTCACAACGTTGGCCAGGAATGCAAGGCACTTTGCAGCGCTCGCGAAAGGTTTAGATTACCAAAGGGCCTCCGCATCCAGGAACGCCGCTCCTGGATTCTTTACGTGCTCGTTCTGTGCTGCGTCTTGCTTCTTCCCAGTGCTTCGTTGCCTTGCTCGTCGCCGTCCTCAGTCCGACCTCCTCCCCCGTCAGTCAGCGCTCGTCTGTCCTCCTCCGCCCCTCCGCCCCCTTCATGCCCTTCCTGCAGCCGCTTTCCGAGTCCAGCTTGAATGTTTCAGACCCATGCTGCGGCCGATCAATGGAGTCGCGGGCCCCGCAGCACCATCCTTCGCCTGGCCAAGGGCAGACACCACCATCGCGAGCAAGGGTAGGCGCAGCACCAGCACGGTGCACTTGAGTCAGAGTTCTCGGCAATGGAACAGCAATGATGTTGGCAGATGTCGGCGCTGATGACTCCACGGCCGACGGTGGGCCGTCATCGGCGTTCCGAAAGTTCGCGGCGATACGACGCGGGGCTCGGGACTGCGCGGGGGTCGTCTGCACACCAGCGCGGCATTCTGAAGCCGTTGTATTTTGCGCCAGTATTTTGCGGTACCCAGCTTTGACCATGTAGTGAGATCGTTCCTTGTAGATGATCTCGATGTCCCATGCCCGAGCGCAAGGGTCCTTCTGCTAGGGCTCTAAGGGGGTGCGGGGGGGCTGTGGCTGCGCTGGTAGATCTCCGGGAGATTGTTACTCCTCGCACGCGCCGCCCGAAGGCCTTGCCAGAATCTGTAAAGAACTGAACGTGGGCGCAGAACCCTGCTCACGCCCCATTGGCCGCGTAGATATGAAAAACTGAATCGGTTTTCTGCTGTTGTTCCCCATCCGCCTCCTTGATGCCCCTCAGAATATCTATATATATATATATATATATATATATATATATATACACACACGTATACCGCCCCCCCTGGGCCCCGCCCACTTCTGGAACATCTTCGGCAAGTCCCCGATATCGCCCACCCACCGCCCATGACAGTCCGAAGAGTGTTCCAAGTGGCCAAAGACAGCCCTCCGACTGCCCTCAAAGACACCGGGAGCGCACAAGAGAGTGCCAAGAGGCTTCAAAGAAGCCCCCAGCACCGCCCAAGACAGGCCCAAGGAAGCCCTCGAGAAGCCCAAATCATGGAACAACCTAGTGAGTATATTTGTTTCCGTGTTCGCATTTTCACTTCCGATGCGTTTCTGATGTTTAAGTTTAGGTCGGGCATGTCTTCCTACAGGCGGGTTTTGGACGAACCATAAAAATAGTCCAGATATGTTCAAAACTTGTCAAACAAATAATAGAACATCGTCCCCTGATTTTGTCATACTTCCCCATCTGTTTCGTGGGGGTCTGGTTTTCTTCTCACCCGCGTCACCCGCGCTCCTCAGTCACACCCTCTCCCGCGTCACGCAGCACCGCGCACCACAGCGCAGCAAAGCACAGCACAGCACAGGTCAGCACAGCACACAGCACACACACAGCACAGCACAGCACAGCACAGCATAGGACAGCATAGGACAGCACGACCCGCAGGGGGTGAGAATCTTTCGCTGGCAATTTGAATTTCCTCGACACCACAGGAGGTGCGCTGGTCCCCGAGCGCGACGTCTATGCGGGCCATGGCGCAGGGCACAGCAGGCGTGGCACATTCTCGACACCAGATGGGGTGCGCAGGGAGTGGTCTCTCACCGCGTCCGCTCTGCGCGCCACTCGTTCAGGCACCGCAGCGTGGCATTTTCTCGACACTAGAGGGGGTGCGCAGGGGGTGGTCTCTCACCGCGGCCGCTATGCGCGCATCTCGCCCAGGTACCGCAGGCGTTGCACTTCCTCGACACCATCGGGGGTGCGGTGCGCAGGAGGTGGTCTCTCAGCGCGGCCGCTATGCGCGCCTCTCGTCCAGGCACAGCAGGCACGGCATTGTTTCGACACCAGAGGGGGTGCGCAAGGGGTGGTCTCTCACCGCAGCCGCTGTGCGCGCCTCTCGTCCAGGGCATAGCAGGCGTGGCCTTTTCTCGACAGACACCAGGGGGGGAAGGCGTGACACTTTCTCGACACCAGATGGGTGCGCAGGGAGTGGTCTCTCACCGCGGCCGCTCGGCGCGCCTCTCGTCCAGGCACAGCAGGCGTGGCACTTTCTCGACACCAGAGGGGGTGCGCAGGGGGTGGTCTCTCACCGCGGCCGCTCGGCGCGCCTCTCGTCCAGGCACAGCAGGCGTGGCACTCTCTCGCCACTAGAGGGGGTGCGCAGGGGGTGGTCTCTCACCGCGGCCGCTATGCGCGCCTCTCGTCCAGGCACCGCAGGCGTGGCACTTCCTCGACACCAGAGGGGGTGCGCAGGGGGTGGTAACCCACCGCGGCCGCTATGCGCGCCTCTCGTCCAGGGCATAGCAGGCGTGGCACTTTCTCGACACCAAAGGGGGTGCGCGTGGGGTG